TTCTAAAATAAGAATATAGACTCCACGCACGGGTTGAATTTGGTATATTATAATATATGTTCATAACATATTCGATTACACGAATAATTGGTAAATTCCGTAGTTACCTCAAACAAATCTCTATTTCAACAACCAAAGAATTAGAAATTGAAAAAAGAATTTCCTAAATTAATTCAAAATAATAGCTAACTTTCTTAATTAATTAAAAATAATCTACGTTTTTGAAGCGATTCATTATAATATTTTGATTTTTGATCTAACTGAATTATATGCAATCTCATTTTGTGGTTGTTAATATAAATTAGCTCATTTTTCAGACCATATTAATTTATTAAAATAATTTTATTTTCTGTTTTCATATCTTAAAAAAATATATCCATAAATGAGTATAATTTTTTTAAAAAAAATATATTTATTCTAATATTATATATAGGAACTGACAAAAATCTAATTATATTTTTTCAATAACTATTATAATATATCACAATTTTATTCTAAAATAAATAAAATTTAACCCGTACTATAGCACGGGTGATGATCTAGTAAATACTTAATTTTTGGATCGTCTGGGCATATCAATTAATATAGCCCTTTAATTATTCAAATGTAACATAATTTTAAAAAGACATCCACGTTATTTGTACGAGTTCGGTGTATATCACCTATCGCTTGCAATTACTATTTAGTTGCTTCCAAAGTAAAGAAATCAATTTTAAAGACGAGAATTTAGAAACTTTCAAATCCTTTTTTTTGGCATTGAAGTGGTTTATCAACTCCATAAAATCCAGCTATGTGAAGATAACAAAAGAATCCACAAAGGTTACTAGAATGTGCATTATTAATTTCAGATTGTGACCACATGATACTAGTTTCTGTTTAGGTTGCTCAATCATCAGACAGGTCACTTATATATTCTGAAGTTCAACAGTGATGACCGCAAGTTTTTCTGTTGGCCATGCAGGTCACTTATTTGTTTTCTTAAAGATACGTGTGTATGTTTGTTCCCCTAATTACTTTCATCTTTGATCTTAAGTGTTTCTCATAACTCTTTTTTGTTGGTGTATTGAAGAACTTTGATAATTAAAAGGCAGAGAGACTTTACGAAAGAGAGAAACAGAGTTATTAAAAAAAACTGAAACTTCTTGTATTGAATATCTGAATATGTCAAAAAAAAAAAAAAAAAAAAAAAGTTCTGAATATATGTTACAAAACAAGATATCATCTTAATATAGTCAACCGACATGACCGAAACAACACTAACAACAAGAGTTGTAACTCTTCACTTATGACTCTTAACATAACTACTCTTACTTGGTAAATAATTCACGACTCTCTTAATACATACATACTTAACATAATGCGTACTTATATAATTATACAAGACAAACGACCAAACTCAATTATCACTAACATTTTTCTTACTTATTTTACAGGAGCCAAGCTCTGAAGGTGATGCCGAGTTGTGCTCTTCGGTCAATCAATACCTCAATCAACCACTAGGCATGTTACAAACAGTCTAGGATATGATTGTACCCTGGCAGTGTCTTTCTTGCTATTTAACCTTCTAACTTGCATGATGAGCAAACTAGCTTTCTTATCTTTAAAATACACATTCTTTCGTACTTTCATTCATATTATTCTGGTATTTTATGTGTCACACGGATTTGGAAATAATGTAATCGGGCTATTATAAGGAGCTTCCCTTTCCAATGAGCATCAACCACAATTCAAATGTGCAGTAATAAGTTCTATTCCTTGTCATTGTTGGTTTGTGTATTAAGAAAAGTTTGAAGTGAGGAGCTAGAATGCGTATTGTTTATTAGCACAAAAAAACTTCTCTTATCCCTGATGGTTTATTTATACTCTCATTAAGATGATGTCCGGGTTTGTCTGAGGCCATGTTTTGCTTCCTCCTTCTCAAGGCTCTCTTCCGTCAGCTAAGTGAAAGTTTGTGTGGCTCGTAAAGTGATACAGTAAAACTCACGATTCTGATAAACACAATAGATTCTGATAAACACAATTGAATCGTCGTTCATAAAACGAGAATCCAAATCTCATGTGATAGAGCTTAGAAGTAGAAACAGCTCTAGCAACAATGAGATATCAAAAACCCTAAAGAGTTTACAGAGATAATTGAAGAAGAAGAAGATACAAACTTAGATATTTTTCTGGTTATCCTCCCCAATCGATCTTCGAATTCTATTTAGCTTCAGTTCTTCTCCTCATTTCCAGCCAATCATTAGTTGCCAACTCACAACTTACACCTCCACCAATTAGATTTCATTAACCTTCCACGTCATCCCAGCCTACCATTTTCCTATAACAAATCTCCCCTCCTTAGAGAACCTTGACCTCAAGGTTCATGGTTTTCCAATTTACAGAGTAATGATGAGACGGATTTCTCTCAATATCATAAGAACTTGTTGTATTTAAGCCTCCGTTGATACTTCTTAGCACCTCAAAGTTTCCATTTCTTCGCCATCTCAGTTTTGTACTTAAAACACCAATCTTTTAAAAACTTACTCCACCAAAAATTGGTAAGCCAAGTGGTTCTATCAAACCAGTGTAGTACATAAACCACATTCAGCCCACAGACATATGTTGACTGCTCACACCAATCCGCCACTTCGAAGAAAAACCCTGTGATTTCTTCTCTTGAAGAACAAATGACCTTGTGTAATTTCAGTTCTGAATTTGCATCAGTCCACGCCAACATTTCCATCGATTTTTTGGCACAAATCGTTTTATGTTGCAGCAATAAACTTTTCACCAATTGCTCCCCTTCAAAACCTGTTTGGCTAGAGTGATGTTTAGCTTCCAAAGAGCACAGTTCCTCCGTAGGAACTTCATGAACACATATCATGGAAGGTTGAACTTGATCTTCTCTCCGCTTATGAAGCTTTAATGCCTTCACATCTCTGACGGAGCCTTGCCTAATACCCTGAAGAAGAACCTTTTTATGTCCTAAACGGAAATGCATCTCTAACTTCTTAAAATCACAAGTTATTGGCCCCAATGTCCCCATCCACTGAGCGCCTAATACCATATCACACCCCTTCAAGGGAATTATCATAAGATCAGCCTGAAATTGTGTGCCTCTAAATTCCCATTGGAACTTATCTATTTTAGCATCAACCTCCAACATTCTCCCATCATCGACTAAAACTCTAGCCATACTTGCAGGTTTTAAAACACATTTCAATTTCTCAGCTACTTTAGGATCCATGAAGTTGTGTGTAGAACTCGAGTCAAGAAGTATATACAAGACTTGCTTCTCATAAGAACCCTTCACCCTCATCATTCGATAATCAGAGATTCCTGAAACTGCTTTAACAGAAATATGAGCTATTACTCCAGTTTCCTCCAATTCAACCTTCTTTGCATGTACTTCTTCCAATTCCCCACCATCCTCTTCAGCTCCAAATCGTGGATTTTTGTACTTCTCATCACCAACATAACAAAGTTTTTGATCCCTTCGCTTACTCATATCTTCAGTGGATAAGACTTTGTGAGGCTGCGTTGTAGTATCCTTAGGTCTCTCCATACTAGTAAGAAGTACTGTTTTATGATCAGTCTCCGGTTTAGATGATAAAATCCCTTTAGACTGATTGCTACTTCCACTCCATTTAGCACCAGACCAATTGTTTACATTGTTCTTCTTGGGATGTGCTCGCTCATACAATTTTCCAATCAAGAAACATTGTTGAATCGTCTGAGGTTGAAACATCTTGACATTCACTTGAGTATCATTTTCCAGTCCTGTCAAATACAGACTTACAAAGTAATCTTCATCTAACTTCACTCTAGTGCTAATCGACTCGAAACGAGCATGATAAACCTCAATTCCTTCAATTTCCTGCAACAATTTCAGTTTTGCAATCGAATCATCCACATGCTTATTATATCTCACTTGCAACAGCAGTTTGTAACTCCACCAATCATGCCTAACATGCTTCCACCACATTGATTGTACAATTGATTGGTGCAAAGTCGCAACAATGTCATCGAAATGGATTGAAGCGATACCAACTATAAATTCCTCCGGAGTACGATCAATTAAGAAGAATTGTTCAATCTGAAACAACCAATCCATGATTTTATCACCATGAAATCGTGGAAAATCAACTATCTCTAACCTTTTAGGATCTGCGTATCTCGAATGCGATCGAAGCCACATCTCTTATACCGTTTCACGAACCACTGCGGTCGCTTCTCTAGCCACCGTCTCCTTGATTGGAGTTTGCGATCTTGTCTCCGCCATGGATTCCGAGAATCTGTTGGCTCTGATACCTTTGATACAGTAAAACTCACGATTCTGATAAACACAATAGATTCTGATAAACACAATTGAATCGTCGTTCATAAAACGAGAATCCAAATCTCATGTGATAGAGCTTAGAAGTAGAAACAGCTCTAGCAACAATGAGATATCAAAAACCCTAAAGAGTTTACAGAGAGAATTGAAGAAGAAGAAGATACAAACTTAGATATTTTTCTGGTTATCCTCCCCAATCGATCTTCGAATTCTATTTAGCTTCAGTTCTTCTCCTCATTTCCAGCCAATCATTAGTTGCCAACTCACAACTTACACCTCCACCAATTAGATTTCATTAACCTTCCACGTCATCCCAGCCTACCATTTTCCTATAACATAAAGCTTCAGTTTTGGTCGGGTTACTCTGTGATTGATCATTGCGTTTTGGAGGTGTTAGTATGGATTTTGCCTTTTGGAGGATAAGATGTTGCTCAAGTCCACGCTACCGACATCTGGAGGATCTTAGAAGAGGGCAACATTTCCTGCCACGTGAGGAGAAACGGGGTGGTGACGGGGACTTCTACATTGGCGTTAGAGGCTGCATCGTCTACATTGGCGTTAAAAGCTGCATCCTCTACATGGACGGGGACTTCTACATTGGCAAGATTTTCCTTGACATTAACAAGGAAAATCTTGCCATAGTAACCTAGAGATCATGAAATGGTCAAATCCGAATGGAGCCATGGTAATAGTTAACCATGGTGAAATACTGCCACTGAACAAGTTTATATGACACAGTATCCTATTATAACGTTTCTAAAAACTTTAATCTTTGGGTCTTACACAGATCTTATACCATTATTTATTTTTCTACTCAACGTCTGAATTATTGTTGACCAAAAACATGTTTTTGAGTCAAAAGAAGTAACAAATACAGATTTAAGCCAAACATCAGATCTTCTTACGATGTACATACAAGACATCAAAGTCCCCACAATGAAGAAGAAATCACATATGTAGTTCACATTAATAAAGAGTATCTGGAAACTTTAATCCTTGGGTCTTACACGAACCACATTACATTTTTGGTTCAATTGAAACATTTAAGCCAAACATATGATCTTGTTACGATCTACAACACAACAGTCACCACAATGAAGAAGGAAAACATTGTATGTTCGTCAATGAGGATCAGAGGACGACAACTTGGCATGAGCTAGAGCGTCTTGGAATGGTAAGGAGTTCTCTGAGGATGACAGATTCCTTTCTGGAACAATCATTCAAACATAGAGTGACTTTCTTGAGGACTGGTGAGTTCTCAAGAAAGTAACTCACTAATTTCAACTCCATCATGTCTAATGACGATTCAATCTTAACATACTCGAGAGATGATAGGAGACGCCGAGGTCGAGATAAGATACTAGTTCTCTCCTTTGGATAAGAAGTAGATTCCTGATATATTACAACCAAGTGAATGAAACAAGTTTGAGTAAACTTTCCCCATTTTCATTATTATACCAAAGAAAGTACATAAGTTTTAAGTAAACAATCCTTACCACGACAAGAGAATTTAGATTCGGGCAGCTCTCAAGAAAGAATGGCAATATTTCCCATATGTCGTCATAGAAGTCAACACTCAAGAAAGATAGATTACGAAATAAGGGCAGTGGTTCACATCTTGAGTAATCATATATGACCTACAACAACCACCAAAAAAAAGCTTTAAGATAAGCTGATAAAATAAAGTTAAAACCTTAAAATTGCGCGGATTCAACATAGGTTACCTCAAGAGTACATGGAGCGATGATCAGATTTTTGACACTAGAGATCCTGGCAAGAAAATTACGAATCATTTTTCTCTTTGGTAGATCTTTGGGATCAAACTTTTTTCCCAAACCAAAGTTAAACTCAATATTGATATCCGCCTTTACAAGTGAACTGGAATTCTTTATTATGAAACTTGCAGTTACTTGATGAGAGAGCTTGAGATTCTCAAGCTTGGGAGCATCAATTTCAACTACTAGATCTTTATCATAAAGACCTTTGTATTTGGGGCCGTAATAGTTGAAGCTCAATAGAGACTGAGAGCTCACACGTAAAACTTTTACATTGTCAATTGGACTTTTGCATAAAGTTAAGCTTTCGAGAACTAGGCAGCTTGAGATAAGCATTTCCAAAGCCAAATCATTTGCAAACAAAACCCACTCTAGAACGATAGCTTTGAGAGAAGGTAAAGACACAAACTCAAGATTTGGCAAGATTACGCCACAAAGCTTTAAAGATACCAAGCTCTCACACATGTAAAGTATTGGAGGTATCTCCACTGCACTCCACGTAAGATCGAGATACTGAACTTTCTGCTTAACAATAGTGTTGATCCACCGCCTGATATCGTTTTCAGTCTCCTCATCAACATCGCAATAGCTTCTTAACTTAAACTTGTTTAAGCATGACTCACGGTTGAAACTCAGAAACCGTTCGATAAAACTCACAACAGCATTGAATTCCTTGAAATCCCGACAGTCCAAGTCCAAACCAGGAGCATACCTCCAGAGATTTCTCCATTTGCTCGATAAGACACTACTCTTAACCACATCTTTTGTCGGAAGATTCAGGAGAACATGAAAAAGCAAAGATTCTGGCAAATCTCTTACCCAATCAACTTCATCGCCAGATCTTTTTTCGGAAGATTCAGGAGAACATGATCGTTTGGTACGAACACGTTTCTCTCCGTCTTCATCCATGTAGCTTCAAAATTGCGAAGAAAGAGGCAAAGAGTATGTGAAAATGAAAAGGTAACTATTAAACCTAAACCTAACAGTACCACTTTAACGGCTTCGAACGTAACAAAGATGACAGAAACAAAAACAAACGCCGTTAACGTTTTAAAATATCCCAGATACTGGATTATGGATTTAAAATTAATGATGGATTTTAATGGATATATGTTAAAAAAAAGTTAAAGACAATTCCTTTTGTTGCAGAATATAAAATTTGAAGTTGGTGTTTGTTATGAAAAATTAGAACGATTAATTTTTTTGATAGAACGATTTATTAAAAAAAAACTCAAAATTTTTAAATTAAAATAATGATATTTAAATAACACAACTTTTTAGTTTCTAAATAAAATTACAAATAAAATTTTAAATATTTTATTAATTTATATTTTAAAATAAATTTGTATTTACGCATTATACGTTGAGGTATATAGATTTTTGGTTCAATTTAAATTTATATAATATATGAAATAATTTTTCATGTTAAAATGCATAAAGTATATATTTATATTGTTTAATTTTCAATAGAAAAAAAAAAAACACAACGCATTTAGTAGAAATAATATCTTTTTATAGAAGCTTTCTTATTTAAAAAATTCGAGATATTTAATTTTGGTAAGTTTTAGTTAATAAAAATAAGGAATATATTGAATTAATAAAGTCTTTGACAAGACCGATAATGGAATTAAATAAATCAAAAATAAAAAAAATTTAGAAAAATTGTGGATTTGACACATTATCAAGAAAATCCCTATTTTAATATATAGAAAATTAGAGAAACTAGAGAAACAAAATATAAATGGATCAGTGTATAATTAAGTGAAATAAAAATAGTTAAATCAAATGAACAAACAATTAATAATTAAATTAATCAGTGGCAACTGGCCCACTAGCCAGTGTGTAAACAACAGGTCAATAGCCAAAGATCCTAGAAAGATTGATACATTAAAAGCTAATTAAATTATTCGAACTTAATTTTTCTTGTTCAGATTTGTTTACCTTTTAATTATTCATCGATGTAACCAAAATTTTTTAAAAAGACATCCAGGTTATTTGTACGACTTCGGTGTATATCATTATCGCTTGCAATTCTTTACTATCTAGTTGGAAGTTGGAACAAAGGTAAGAAAGCAATTTTAAAAACGAGAATTTAGAAACCTTCAAATTCAAATCCTTTTTTTGGCATTGAAGTGGTTTATCAACTCCATCAAAAATCCAGCTATGTGAAGAGAAACAGATAATCCACAGAGAATCAACGCCAAAACACAAAATCTATCGAAAAGATGAGGTTGAGAAATTAACAGACTCGGCTGGTGATATTTGAAGAAAGAGACTTGAGCTGTGTGTTCCATTTATCAACCGCCTTATGCAGCTTCCTTCCATTGCCACTGTCACCTCTCAGCAAGTAACGGTTCATTTCGTCAATGTGACCGTCGATTCGACTGTCGAGTATCAGCGACACTAGCAACTCCGTCACATCCTTCTCTGGTACGTTCAGTTCCTTTGATATGAACGGAATCCCTATCTTTGTGTATGGCTTTATCAGCTTCAGCAACACTTGTGTTCTCACTTTCCTCAGCAGATCTTCCATGTAGTTTCTGATGAATGGATCATCCATTATCGTCCTCCGGTTACTCTACATTCCAAAACCATTACATGAGTATCGTTTTGAGATATAATGTGTTAAGAAACAACCCAATAATACTTCACTTATTACCTTTAGTATTCTCTCAAACTCTATGATCTCATTTCGTTGATATGCTGCGATCAAATTTGTCATTGCCAAGATCTCAGGGTCGTTTTTGTACCTGCGGAGAGCTAACTATGAAGCAGCCAACCAAAACTGAGTGTACAAAACAAAATATTTAGGGCAATGACTTACGGCTTTGCCTCTTGGCCATCAAATGGATTCACTTCCGACTCCATCAGCATATTCGCGAGAACAAGATATCTTGCAAAGCAAAAAAAAAGATCAATAACTCTTGAACATGCTTGGACCAATCACAAGAAGCAAGATACAGAACAAGAGTAAAAGAAGAAATACTCATGTGCACCACATGTTCCCTTAAGTCAGATCTAAACAATATAGCTTTGCTTTATTTACCCAGCATATCTTTTATGTCTACTTTTATACCATGTATTCATGTAATAATCAAGTGACCAGAGCGTATCAAATAGGGAAGGATAAAGAGATGAGAAGATAATAGGAAACATACTTCAGGCACTGTATACGTCTTTGGTTGCCAGCTTCATCGTAATTTTTAAAAGCCTCAAAGAAGTCTGTCGCTGCTTCTGCCCACTGACGTTCTGCCATGTGCATTTTTCCACCACACTCGCGGATTATACCCATGATCCTAGGATGAGGTATGGCAGATTTGATGGAAAGTGCCTTATGGTATAGTTGCTGCATCCATTCAAGAGTGTTGCATCTCAGTCACAAAAGCCAAAAGAAAGTATGCAATAATAAAATCGCAGAATCTCGAAATTACTTTGAGGTAAGAAAACATATAGCAGATGATGTTTACCTTAAGCTTTTTGTTGTCCTTCGTTTCAGTGTAAATCTGAATTTCAATTGCATAAACCTCAAGCAGCTGACTTCCTTTCTTCTGATCATCAGTTCCATCTTCCTTTTGACAAGATTTATGGAGTTCCTTAAGAATCTGGCAAGCAATAATAGATGTTATTTTCCATTCTAAGATCTCTAAACATAATCAGCTCCAGTCAAAAGATTTGATTAAACACAATTATACCTTGGTCATACGTCTGTATTCACCAATGTCAAACCAGATGTTGCAGAGTTTAAGATTCGTCTTGAACCAGAGTCTCTGTGAAAGAAGAAAAATATGTCACATCTCCAAACAATTGAGAAGGAATGGTAGCATATACAAAACGAAAGAATAGCTTCCAGACCTCATTCTTAGCCTCTTCAAGGGCTTTCAAAGTGGTCTGATAAAACTCTTGCAGCAGGCCAGTATTCTGGCTAGCAGATCCAGAGACGAAATCCATAATATTGTTTATACATTTTTCGCTGTAATTCCTGGTCACTGCTGACTTGATATATGTAAGCATCTCTCTATATGCTTCCATCATTTCTTTGTATTTACCTAGACGATAATAGATCTTCACAGTCTGCTTAAGAGCTTTGAAACCCCTGAAAAGAAACAGACCATTGAATGGTTTAACTAGATTAACAAAACTTCAAATAGACTATTCACACATACTACAGATAGACGAATAGTAGAGGCAATGAATCTTTAGGAATACCGTAACTAGAGTTACATAAACCATAACTAGAGAAAAGGGTCAAATCTGAATGCACCAACAGCCTAAGGTCAACAATCAACATGGTCAAAAGACCCCTATTTGACTGCAACTAAACAAGCTATATTACATGATAATTTATAAACAATACCAGCAATTAATCGTAGGAATACTAATGTTTTGTATAATAAGGAAAACAGACTACAGGAACAAAACCTAACTTGACATAAACAAGGAATATCTTGCAGGTAACCTAGAGATCATGAAAGGGTAAAATCTGAATGCAGCCACAGAACAAGTATCCTATTATATATCAGAAAGAGTATTTCTATATGTTCCATCAACATTACATTCAAAACCCAGACAAAAACACAAATCTAGAATTCCTCTAGAAGATATACAACAATCACAGACACTATTCAAAGGTCTTACCAGTCAGCTTTGTCAGGTTCCATCTGAACAACCTCAGCAAACCCAGAAAGTGCTTCTTCAGGTTCAGTCTCAACCATACCTTAAAGAAAGAATCAAGATTTAAAATCGCAACACAAGTTTGAGAATGCAAACATAATAGAACGCAAGAAAAAAAAGAACCTTTAGAGTTATAATACTGGTTCTCAATGTCAACATCTTGTTCCTCTTGGTCCTCATCAGAATACTCGAATCCATAGTCCTCCATATCAGCATCTACACAAAACTCAAAAACCCAAATCAATAATAAACCCTAGCGATTCGTGACAAAGTAAGTAGTCGAATTCGGGAACTTTCAAACCCTAGATGGTTTCAGAATAGAAGATTAAACAAAAACAAAAGCAAGACCTGAAGCCATGACGATCAGAGGAAGAAGAAGAACAAACGATTCGTGAATTAGGGCAAAGTAAGAACGATGAGAGAATTTTGCTTCGGCTTCAGATTTTTTATGCAAAGGGTTTTTGCGGAAGTAGAAGAAGAAGAAGGTGGAAGCGGTGTGTTGCTGGATTTGTAATATTTTGGTATTGGGCCGAGTAACCAAATAAGATAGTCCATATATATAAATAAATAGGAAATAAATTTTGATCATGGTAAAAAGGAAATAATAATAACAACTTTTTAAGAAAAATATAAATTTTTAAAAGTTGTTGAGATTTGAAGAAATTTATATGATATATATATATATATATATATATATATATATATATATATATATATATATATATCAAAGGGAAAATAAGTTAGAGAATAACATAAATTTTAAAAAATAAGAACATAATTAGAAATTGGTCTTGAAAAAGAGGTTTTAAGAATTTAATAGCACTCTATCATATAAAAGACTGAAAAATCTAACAAACATTTATAAGTTTCTCTTAGTAATATATCTACTATACATTTTTGAAGTACATTTTAAGGATTCAATCGGGTCGGATTTTTTTAAAATTTTGACCCGGAAATCTATTGATTTTGACCCGCAAATTTGTGTCTCGGATCTTACCTTATTTGTTATTTTGACCCAAAATCTCTCACTAAAATCCTTCCATATTTGCTGCTACCTACATTCAAGGCTTAAATGATTAAGTTTCTCTAAGAAATCCCATTTAAAGATACACAAAGAGGCCATTGTTGATGGTAAGGGTAGAGTACTTTCTTTGATATTGCAAACAGGAAATGAGAGAGACTGTGAATAGAAAAGATGAAAATGAGCGCATATTTATATAGTTTGAATTGGTATGATGCATTACGTTTATGTGAATATTAGAAAATCTTGGTGAGCAAGGATTGAATATATTTCGTGATCTTAGTAATTGGAATAACAGAGAATATGTTAGGTTGGTAGTTAAGAAAATAAGGATAAAATCTTCTAGGTATTAACTAATTTCCAAGTCAATAAATTGAGACTTGAGAGTATGATTCCTTTAGTTGTTAGAAAGAAATGATTAATAGAATCATTACTCTTGCATTATAATAGGCAAGAGTATCTATCTTGCCAATTTTTGTTAACTATTGTTATAATTATAGATACAATTTGCTCTGTTGAGGGATGTCAGACCATACAAGACCTCTTGGCGTGTGCAGGTTAAGGTTCTCCATTCTTGGCGCCAATATACCAACAACACTGGAGAAACCCTTGAATTAGTCTTGGCTGATTCACAGGTAAAAAACATGATAATCAGACAAACCTCATCTCTATACTATTAAAAGAGAAGTACAAATGAAAATGGGTCGGGTTAAAATCAGAAAATTGACCCGAAATTCTGAAATCGGATCTTTGAAATTTTTTTGGAATATAAATTCGAATTAATAATGAAAAATCGAAATAAAATCAAATATTTATGGAAATCAAATAAAATCTGATTGTACTTATGGTAACTAATAATAAAAGCATATTCCAAACAATATTATACATTAATTACGTATAATAAATTTGTTCATATATTTTTGGGACTAATTCCAATAACAATCAACGTTTTTGTCATTAATTTCGCTCATTTTAGCCAATTATCATTAATTAAAAGATATTTTACTTGCTTCTAAAGATTTCTAGAAAATTTATCACAAATAACCCATCTGTTTTATAAATTAAATTGATATTTTTATTTTGGTAGTGTAAATTAAATAGATATTTTTATTTTGGTCGTGTAAATTAAATAGATATGAAATCCATGTAACTAATTTTAATTTAATTAGATTAAATCGAAATTATGATATTTTCATACCTATAGCTTACCAAAGAAGTTTAATTTTCAATTTATAAAGATTTCTTGAATATGATTTTAGAATTATTCAACAAGATGATAAGTATTTATTAAATTTTGTGAATCATGAAAAATAATAATTAATTTTTAATCATTATACTTCATCTTTCAATCTCTCATCTAACAAATAAGATACATATTCTATTATTACTATGTCCAAACTTCATTTTGTTGTATGACTAAACAATATTCCTATTAGAACTGTCAAAGCGAGTTGATTCGTCCCGTTAAGTCCATTTTGCGATAGACAAAAAATATTTTGACTTGTAGTTAGTCGGTCCGCACGATCCGCGGGTAGCATATATGAAATACAAATCCGTCCCGCGAATGTATGCGGATTTGCGGGATTGTCCATGAATTTTGTTTAAATAATTTAAAGTAACCAAAATTTAAAATACTACTAAAATAAATAAATAAATCAAAATACTATTAAAAGTTTGTTTAAATTACCACATGTTGAATAAATTATAATTATATCAAGAAATACTAATATGCGGGCTGATCCGCCAACCCGCGGATGAAAACCGATTAAACCTATGACCCACTGCGAATTAATCCATGTGGCCCGCTTATTTGCGGGTTTAATATATTTTCCCAAATCTGCCTCATAGTGAGATAATGTGGGCTCGACCCGCGGTTTTTGATCTATTTTGACTGCTCTAATTCCCATGAATCGTCTAATTTTAGAATTTTAAAACACAAAATTTTATTTTGTAAATCATAATTAATACGATGGGTATATATTTTTAAACAATTTTACATTTTCTCTACAATTCGTTATTATGAATATTTATAAGTATACTATACGATTCGTTCTACTAAAAAACACACACAATATTAAACGCAACGTATGTAAACCAATATTCTCCCGCGGTGGACCGCGGGTCCGATCCTAGTTTTACATATATATTTCTATACATGAGTGATTAATAGTAACTAAACCCAAATCTACTTCATTTCAAAAACAGGGTGTCAAGATTCATGCTTTCCTGAAGAAGGATTTGGTTGCCAAGTATGTAAACAGCCTACAAGTGAATGAGTGGAAGTTCATTGAACATTTTACACTTACTCATGCATCAAGGCAATTCAGACCAACCGGTCATCTATACAAGATGACCTTTGTCAATGGCACTACCGTGACACGGTCTGACATTGTCTCTGATTCAAGCTACTTAACACTGGTAAAGTTTAGCAAAATATAGAGTGGGGATTTAAATCCTTACATGTTGATTTGTATGTGATTTTGAAAGATACAGTCTGTGGTTAAAATGATTAATTGTGTTTTGTAGTTGCTAAATGTTCTTTCGTGATCCAAATCTAGATGTTATGGGTCAAGTGGTGAATATTGGTGAGCTAGAGGTGCTGGAAGCTAATAACAAGCCAACCACTAAGCTTGACTTTGAGTTTACTAATTTATCCGTTTTATTATTACATAGAATCAGAATGTTAAGTATGCATTTGATATGATCAAATATTTGATTTCCTGTCTTCTCCTATAGTGATTACATGATGTCATGCACACTCTGGGGGACATTTGCTGAGAAAATGTTTGAAGCATGTGAAGCAGCTGAGTAAATCATGGTGATATGTGTAATCAGATTTGCCAAGATTAAGGTCTACAAAGGTAAAATTCACTTTTTCTAGCTCAGGTATGCTGAAGAAAGATTTTATTTGACAACTATTTCTGTTTTATTTCCAGGTGTTAGGAGTCTCTCTAATTCATTTGATGCCTCCCAAGTTCACATCAATCCACCTCACCCGGAAGTTGAAGCTTTTACTAGAGCGTATATATTTACTTCTCCAACTACTATTTTATCTAGATGATGACTACTCTAAAATTTTGTATTTTTTGACAATTTAATTCTTTTATTTTTTTCTAAATAGTCTTCCCTCTGATGGTATAGCATTAACATTCCGTGAGAGTGTTCCAAAGTTCCAGATGGTGACAGCGAAGAAGGATGATGATTGTCTCCAGTATGAAAGGAAGACAATCTGAGAGCTTCTTAACTCAAATGAGGTTTGTATTAATTATTGTTATCACCAGAGCATTGTTATATACTATAGTTAGTCTATATGATATATAATTCCCTATTAACTGTAGATTGGTAAGGCTAGAGTGATTTGAACAATCTACGGAATTGATACAAATTGGGCTTGATATTATTTTAGTTGGTATTATTTCATTCTGGAGTGAATTCTGTATCAATGAAGATCAAAAAGCCAAAATTCTGGTGTGATGTCAGCAGGAATGCTATCTTTGATATCCTTGAGGATTCTGAACAATTGGTTAATCCTGCCTCAATTGTTTCTGGAGACCATGTACCAGTTTCTAACTCTTTAATCTATGTTAATATAGCACATATCTCTCCTACTGATAGTCTTTTTTTCAGTGTCTCATGTTAACAATGAGTCAAGACACATCTAACTCATCTACTCCATCTTCCAAGCGAGTTTATGCGCTTAATCTGTCTGAGTCAGAGCAATCATCAAGTTCTAAGAAGGTGTGCATTGAGCCTAAGGACTTGGAGAAGTCAGAGCCAGATTTTAGAGATAATGGTGTGTCTGAAAATGGAGGTGCTGAAAAGACCACTGAAGTTGTGAAGATAGAGAATGTCAAGGTTGAAAGCAACAAAGGCAAGGATTTTCAAGACAGAAATGATCTCACTGAGACTGAGAAGAAGGAAACCAAGAAGGTGGCTAAAGTGGTTGGTGTGAAGATCAAAAAAGAGAAGTAGTGATTGAGCACCAGTTTGTTAAGAAATAAGGAGTTATATGAATTCCAAGTTCTTTTTAAATTTCATGCTAAGACATTTTGTTTGGTGATTTCTTTGGTTTATTATTGATTCGGTTATTTGGTTCATCAACTCTTTTAAAATAAATTGGTTTTCGATTATTACCAATTTACCTACTGCGCTATTCTGTTATTACCATTTAATTGCTAGATTCATGAGTTAACAAAATCAATAATCCCAAATTCATGGTAATCTATATTTATAGTTATATATTATAACTTAACTGAAACCTAATCATTACAACTAAAACCTAAAGCAATTGATATAAAATTATTTCACTATTTCACTATATGAAACCTGTGTCTTTACCCAATGAAAAAGATCTTGAAAACTGTAATATGGAAACTGCGGTTTTATACAATCATTGCTAAGATATTCATGATTCATGTTAGAGTCTAACGATTCATTTTCCTATCTATATTATATATAACTTAACATATTTCAAACGGTTATTATTTTATACAATATCCATTTTCCTTTTATTTTAGACAATAAATCTTTAAAAAATCATTAAAATTAAACCACGCGTAGTAATAAAAAGGAAAGTTTTAACCTAGTATATATATATATAACTAGATTTGAACCTATGGTACACCGCTGGGCTATATTTAAAAAAAAAGAATTAAAATGTAATTTGTTTTTTGTTAATAGAGAAAAATATATTTATTTGTATATTTTAAATGTACCATCCATATATCTATATCTATATTTTGTTTTAGGTTTACGGTTAAAAAAATATAGGAACAGTAACATACAATTCCGTAAGTAACGATTTAGTTGTGAGAGAATAAGTTTTTTTTTTGTTTTTTTAAAAAATTTAAAAATTATATTTCTAATTAAATTATAAAATTTTGTAATATAAGTTAAATATTATTATGTTTTATCATTTTGTTTGTTTCTAAAATAAATAATGTATCACTTTAGAATATATAGTTGTGTTGTGCAATGAAAATATGAGTAGGAACAATTATGAATTTCACACCAAATATAGTTTTAAGTTAATTGTTTTATAAACTTTGATTATTAAACTGAACCAATTCTAATATATTTTTTCCGAATTGAAAAAAAAAATGTATGTTGGTCTTTAAAAATATATAACTATCCTATAGACAGATTTGGTAATTGGATTTTTGTGTAAAAAAGGAAGTGAGTAGATAATTAAGTGTAGATTGTTGTCGGCACCTACTTTTTTTTTGTCAACCTGAAATTTTATTAAAGAAACTTGTTGTGGAACCAACAGAGGAATACATATGCCCAAACAAGGGAAACTTAAGTCGGCGGACAAACTAAAAGTCCCCGAAAATATTGCCGAAGGAAAAAAGAAATTCCCCGGGAAACTAAGCCCTATCGAAGGGAGACAAAGTTGAACTGAACTAGAAATACAAAGCAGATATCATCAAACCACAATCGAAGGAGGACGAATTGTCGGCACCTACTTATCATCTTCTTTTTCAGAGCAAATTCCACTCTTATTCGATAACCTAGGATTTCACTCTTTTTTCAAAAAATTCACAAAATCGTTGTCATAAGGAGCTGATAGTTCAATCGATTTCTTCATCTGCTCCAAAGAATAGATCAACGGTACACCGGTTGTTTGCTACGAATTCCACCGTTTCAACATCTCTCACATGAGAACTAAATCGTAAAAATTCGTTTCCTTTTCTCTTTTACTCTTCGAATCCATCTCGTTTTATTCCTGATTCTTGAAATTTTATCCTCGATTAGAGCTGTGAATAGAAGATTTCATCACAAATCGTCCATAACCCCAAATCCAAACGATTCTTCTTATGGATCTAAGGTAAAGTCTTCGATGGCTACCAAAATCCCTTGTTTCGGCCTTATACCCTCCACAAGTCTCTTAAACACATCAAAATCTCGGTGCCATCATCAGCTTCCAAGAGTTTCATACTCTGTTTCTTCTCCGCATTCTCTCAAGCTAATGACTTCAAGAAAGGTAAAGCCTTTTCTAGTTTCAAGCTTAGTTTTTGTGGGTTTATCCTCAAATGATTTGTTTAGGATCTTTTCCGATACCAATTGACGATAATTGAATATACTTTAGGTGATAGCAATGGTTTGTGCAAGTTCCAGAGAGTTGGAGATGTCAAATTTAACAGCATTATCGCCTTTGGATGGACGTTTTTGGAGGAAATTTAAGGAATTGGCTTCTTCTATGAGCGAGTTTAGGTTGATCTATTTCCGAGCACTTGGTGAGGTTCTTCCTTCTGATATTAACTCTTTTTGTTACCTATTAAGTGAAGGGTTATCATCTGATTAATTGATTGCGACGATTATAATTGGGTAGATTGATTTTGTTTTTCTTTGGTGGAGGAAGCATGTGAGAGTAGTTGAACTGATTGTTCCAATGCTAAAACGTTTGTTCTTTTTTCCTTATATATTTTTGCTAGATCAAATGGCTTCCTAAGCTTTCAAATACACTCTCAAAGTCACTGAAGTTCCAAGCTTTAGCAAAGAAGCTCAGATTTACTTGCAAGGCAATGGAAGTTAAGAAGATGGATTTAGCATGGATGATGTATTGGAAGTTAAGAAGATCGAGAAAGTAACAAATCACGATGTGAAAGCTGTGGATTATTTCTTAGATCAAAAATGTGAATCACATCAAGATATTGCTAAGGTCTAGAAACTATTCTATCACAAAGTATAAAGATAAGTACTCCTCAACTTTATAAATTTTTATCAAATTGTGCAGATGTTGTTTAGAAAACGAATTGGTAGTCATTGCCATATAGCTTATTGTTATACATGAATGGTAGTAAGTACTGTTATATGTAGCTAATTGCCAATAATTTCCGCAGAACAAAAGTCATGGAAGCAACAAATGGAACTAAGTTTAAGAATAAGCAAGGATCATAAGTTCCAAGTTCGTATTTACTATACCAATTTAAGCATATCTGTATAGGGTCCAAAGCAAACTTTTTTTGAAAGATGTCGGGGATATTGAAGTAACATAGTCAATAAACTGTAATAGAATGTTGTAGATAAAAATTGAAACCTGATTCAGAAGGATAATTTTGAAAGTAAAGATCACAGTTTGAGTAAAATAGAAACGTATTATGATTCTGATTGTCTTCTATCTGAAATTGTTACGTCTTTTTTTTTTCCTTTTGATTGAATTGATTGCTAATGTGTCACCTCCATGAATAATATAAAAAGAAGAAGCATATTAGTTAGTGAATGGCTGTATTCGTAACCATATTGAAATGGCTAAGAGATAAAGGTAAAGTGCATTTACCTTTCCAGAGGATACTGGGACAAAGATTGACAATAGTTAAGTCAGTTTATGTTTTGTAGCAGCCATTTCTTAGAGTGAAAAGGTATCCACGTCTGGATTAATGAGCTTTTGATTTTTGTGAGAGGAATAGGTGTATAGTAGAGTATATATAGGGAAAAATAATTAGGTTATGTGAACATTAATTTTTGGAATAATATCTTTGATTTTGTTATTTTTGTTAGGAATATACCAGTTTTATGCTATTTAAATTCCGAAATTGATTTGTTAAAAATTAATGTGGAAGATTTTTAGGTAGATATTGGAATGAAGATATATTTTCGATGGTCAATATAAACAGATTTTGTGGTATATTAGGTATTATAGAGATCTCGTAATATTTATTTACGGTTGTTTGGATATATATGATAGGATTCAGAGATATATTTTAGGAATAGTAGTGGATTGATTGGAGGGAGTTAATTTTTTGAATTAATTATGTTGAAAAAGAAGAAAGTTGAGAGATATTGTATTGTGATTCCGTAAAACGGTTTTGTTCCGAATCTTTTTTTCCTTAAATATAATTTAATTGATAGGATCGTTGAATAATATTGAATAATATTGGGAATAATATTGAATTGATAGGATCGTGGAAATATTTTTTAATTTAATGTGGTTTAATTTAAGAAAGTTAATTAATATTGAGTTGGTTTTGATTTCTTAAATCTGTTGTTAATATTGTCTCACTAATTAATTACGATTTTGATTTATTGTTGTAGGATAAAATTTCGGAGGTATCCGATTGCAACAAAATCGGGTCAAATGTATGCAAAAAAACCTACCCACCAATAACATAAGTTGTAAATACTTCTCAACCCCAAGATTTATTTGCTAAATGTACTCCAAAAATGTATATATTAAATATGGAATACCCAGTATATGTGTTGTGTTATGTTAAATATAATCTAACCCAACAAATTTTTTATGACCAAAAGTTTTAAACGGATCGGATATCCATTATATTAAACGGTCCCTTGCCGCCGAGCGACTAGCCGCCGCAAAATCGGCCGCCTTGGCCGCGTTTTTGAACAAGGGCTAAAGCTAGTCATCTAAAGATAAGATGACGAGTAATTTAAAGTTAAGACATTGCTATTGATTTGAGTTTACTTCTTCGAGTCACATAGGTTTAGAAGACAAGTTGCATCTTTGCTTCTTAATGGGAGTTAACGAATATGCTTAATGAAAGTTATAGTGAAAAATGTCGAGAAAGCCTATTTGGTATAAAGGATTTCTTATTGATTATTGTGTTATGTTAAGGCTTTTCCTTATATACATAACAAGAATACAAGATAGAGGGCCGGCTTTGACCTAAAGGCAAACAAGCAAGAGCTTTATGCGCCAAATATTATAAAGAATTTAAGGGCATCAAACTATTAAACTCCTCTTAAGTCCAGCGGCTGGCTCCTTCTTTAATAGTTCTTCTTGTCTCAGGTTTGAGTCTTGGTAGTAACGTTTAGCCCTTATTTTTATATTTTTAAGGGCAAAAAAAAAATTGCTTTAGGCAGCCCACAGTGTTGGGCCGGCCCTGACAAGATACCTAAATACATTCTTTCATGAATATATCATCTAATTGTTTGGTCGTATACACATGTGGTGTGGAGATGACGCCTCAAACTATTTCATCACGTATGAAATGACAATCATTCTTGACATACTTAATGCGTTCATGGAAAACTGGATTCGCCGCAAGATATATAGCTGATTTGTTATCACAATGTAGCGGAATGGCTTCAGAACAATCCACCCCAAATGTGACCAGCAACTCACGGATCCATAATATTGCACTAACAGTATCCGCCATAGCTCTATATTCGGCATCGGTAGAGGAACGTGATACCACCTGTTGCTTCCGTGTCTTCCAAGAAATTGGAGAGCCACCTAACTGAATAAACCATCCTGTAAGAGACCAACGAGATAAAGGGCACCCATTCCAATCTGCATCACACCAAGCCACCAGCTTTAGATCAGAATCAGCTCTTAACAAGATACCTTCACCTGGACAATTCTTCAAGTAACAACGAACCACACGGACTGCAGCGTCCCAATGAGCCGTTTGTGGAGCTTTCGTAAAACTGTGACAACACATGAATAGCGTATGCAAGCTCCGGTCGTGTGTTAGCTAGATAAATAAGCCACCTGACCAAGCGTCTATACTGTGATGGTTATGGAAATAGACTATCCTTTGCCAAAGCGAGCGTGTGGTTCTGCTCTATAGGATGAGAAGCCGGTTTAGTTCCTAGTAATCCCATTTCAGGTTATGATATCAAGTGTATATTTGCGCTGGCATAGGTACACTCCATCGGGACTGCGAGCTTCTTTGATGCCCAAGAAATACTTCAAAAGCCCAAGATCCTTCAGATCCTCAGATCCTCAGACCAAAGAAGGTACTGATTAATCTTACACAGTCTAAGATAGTCACATGACCAAAGAATGGTTCTTCATGTGTGAATTATTCGACTTATTATATAAGCTTTTGAAATGAAACTCATCACGAACTCTCTCCTCCTTCTTCATAACTATTCTCATACAATTATATGCGTATACTTAATTTGCTTCCTTTCTACTTTCAATAACTTGATGACCCAAATATCGTATCATGTACTTGTCACTCTTACATGTTAATGCACGATCAATTATCAATAATGTATGATTTAAATTAAAGCGTAACATTAAATTTACATCTTTCTCACTGGAATTTTAAATATCATTGATAGTAGTTCTTGTGCGTGTAAGCATCTAACGATGAGCTATTATTTCTGATGATTGAATTTGCGAGAACAAGAAGCCATACAAATTAAAGTCTTTGAGCAATAAAGAAATCACGTAAGAAAACAGAAGAATGTGATGAGGAATAATAAGGAGAGAACTGAAGCAAAATATAGAACATACAAAGAGATAAGACAGAAGATATTATATTCATCTTAGATATGATTCCCAACAAATCACTATCTTTGGCACCATTATTAGGCTTTAGTGAATTTTGTTTCTTATTCGGAGCGTGCCAGCCTAATTCGGATCACCAAGATATTATCTCAAGCCAACTTATCACAGAATAAATCACTTCTTTTAAGGTAGAAAAAAAAAAACGTTACTTCCTTCCCAAGCATTCGCTAATGCTAACTTTGACGAATTAAGACAATGACAAAACACTGTTCTTTTCTTCAAACAGTACTTAACAGATTTGCTTGAACGCTTAATGCCTTTATTATTTCTCTATTGTTCTGAGAAAGAATGTTTACTTTTATTTGCTGAAAAAATGTTATATTCAATCGGATAATCAAAACACAAAAATTCTCCAAGAGCTATTCAAATAAGAACTTTAAGCTATACCATATCTAAACAAGCAGAGTCATCATCTCACGACCCACCTATAAATAAAGAAAATTTAACTACGGTATCTATCTTTTTATTCAAGAACGTTGAACGGTTTTCTTGAAGTAGAGAGCTTCATACTGATTCTCAAATCCAAGGGTATTCTACTGGAGGAATGGATATTGGTGGTTGATCCGCGTTATTGATCATCATGTCACAAGCTTCTAATCCCTTTACAAATATATCATACATATCGGCAGTCCAATCTCCTTGTTCTTCCCTTGTCATCTCCATGGCATTCTTCTCTGTTGCGAGTACGTCTGTTTGGTGAACCATGTTTCCTTCTCCACTCTGCTCCTCGTTTCTCTCTGTTTCCGCAGTAGAACAAGGAGATGATGCTATCTTCGGAATCTCTGATTCATTACCACCACACAATAATGGTTGCTGCGGCTCGGAAGACGCAGCTAGAACAGACTCATGCTCCTTCTTGGACTTTTTGGACTTCCTTTTCTTGATCGGCTGCTGCTCTGAGGAAGAAGAAGCTTCATGCTGATGATCCTTCTTGTCCTTCTTGGACTTCTTTTTCTTGTGAATCTTGCAGAGGACTAGCTCCTGAAATTTATCTTCGTCCGGTTTCGGTAACACAATTACAAACTCGTCCATAATCCAGCCGCTTTCGCTGCCTGGAGCAGAAGCACCGTCTCCTCTCTTCTGCTTCTTGTTCGTCTTGGTGCCCTTATAAGTTAAGTTTTTCTTGATCCCAATGATAGCCCCTGTATCCTCGTCGATGATATTTTCTTTCCCATTTATCCTCCAGTTCCCGCGGTCGATGCCGTCGTTGTTGTCTCCGGTGATCTTCCGCTTTGGGTACTTACCACGACCAATCTTCTTCTCGGAGATCTGAGTCCTTGTTGAGAAATAGTACCATTCGTCTTCCTTGAAAAAAGAATTGTTGGGATGGTCCAGCAGCCATGGCTCCTTGGCATAAACATCCTTCATCAATATGAAGTCTCCACAATCTTCACCTCTTAGCTTCCGTTTAAGATAGTCCTCGATGACTTCTTGGTACGTTGGATCAAACTGAATTTAATGAACTTTGTTTTCATAAAAATCTCATGATAAAATATTATCTCTTAAAATGAAATTAAATAAAGAATCCTAAGAAATTCGTTTTAAATATTTTAGCAATTAAGAAAACAAGAAATTTATCCAAAAAAAAAATTCATCTTTCAAACTAATCCAAATCAATTCAAAAAAAATTATAATAAATATAACTAATAATATATAACTTTTCTTTCCTTATTTATTTAGCATGTAGAGACATGAATTATATGACCACAACTATAAGAAAAATTAGAAATTTGGAAATAAATTTTTAACATAAATTATGTAAAAGGTTATTTTCATGATGATAATATCTTTTCTCTCTTTGTTAGAAAAAAAAAGTCAAAATTACTCTTATTTTTATTTAAAAAACGTGTGGGAGAAAAAACTTGGGAACTATATATATTTTTTTTAAAGTCTGTTGGATTTGTTGTGACAGGTTTATTTTCCTTAACAGACTTATTTGTCTACGGCAGATTTTTCGTGACAATTTTTTTTTTCCGACAGACTTATTTTAACAGGTTACGACATATATTTAAATTGTTGTAGATTTATCCTCACGACAGACTTATTTTGTTATGACACCACAGACTGTAGTCACTTTGACAGATTTATTAAAATCTATAGCAGATTTATGTTTTTAGTAGCCTTAGACTTTTATTTTTATAAAAATATCTGCAATCAAGTGACATATTTTTTTTGGAAAAATAATTACTAGTGTGACTTAGTAGTGATAACAGATTTATTTTATGTTACGACAGTTTTTTATTTTATGTTACGACAGTTTTTTATTTTTTAAACAAAATACTGTTGAGTGATAGCAGATTTGTCATACAAAAATAAAAATTGTTAGACTGACAAACAATCGCAAATAAAATGTTTTATGTGATGACAAATTTTATTTACATTATGACAGATTTGAGATAAGTTAAAAAAAATGTCATATGTTAGCAGTCTTAGTGATGAAAAACAAAAATTGCTGGAATGATTTATATAACCATAACATATATGTTTGAAGCAATGATATATTTAAAATTTTATTTCTATTATGACAGATTTTTATTCTTATTTGATGACAGACTTTTCATGATAGACTACATATTTTAAACACGACAGACTTTTTTGTTTTTAATTTCCATAACTGAAAACTAATAAATGACGAGACAATCTAATTTATCATATTTTTTTTTTCTGATTTTTTTTTGTTTTTTAAGACTAATAGAATTAAAATGGGTTTTTGGTCATTTTACACAAAATTTGTGTTAGTCTAATAAACTAAAAAATTAGAGTGTTAATCTAGTTATTAATCTCTAGATTTGGGTCAATCTGGATAAATTTCAGTATATCAAATTGTTAAAATAGTTTATGGCTAAGAAACTATTACAAACCACTAAATTTTATCCGCGTTTTTTTTTTTTTTTTTTTTTTTCCTTCTAAAACCTTTTATTAAGCAATGGGTATTACAACCATACAAGGCCAATACAAAACTTCACAGAA